CACACTGCAGTCCCGCCCACCGCGCCAGCCCCACCCATACTGCAGTCCCGCCCACAGCGCCAGCCCCGCCCACATTCCCTCCCAGGGAACACCCCTGCCCCATTACCTCTATGGTTTGGGCAATCTGAACCCACTCTGTGATGGTCATGTCGCTGGAGTCCAGGAGGGGCTGGCACTCCAGCACGGTGTAGAAAATCCTCTGATCCGGACTGGCCAGGCTGTGGGAGGCAGCACAAGACTCCCCTCCACCCCTTCTACTCGAAGCCCCCACCCCTGTACTACCTCTTGCTCAGGTGGGGTCCCCACCTGCACCGTCTGCCTATGGGCTCTGCAGAACCCACAAACCTCCATCCCGAGCTCAGGGCTCAGCCTCCCTTCCACCTGGAGAACAGGGGGAGGGTTGTGGCCCCCTAAGAGGATGAAGGAGAAGGTTCAGGACCAGCTGGGACAGCACATAGCCAGCCGGGGAGATCACAGAGAACATCCACCACCACAGGGATGGCCCCCAGGTCAGCCTCCCATCTGCAGAGGGCCCCAGGCAGCTGGGGTCAGAGCCAAGCCCCGAGAGGCCACCAGGCCAGAGAAGGGGCAGGCAGCTGGGCCCCCGGCCCCTTGCCCCGATGGGCACAGTTCCTAGCAAGGCACCCGCCCCTGCCCCATCGCACCAGATGGGCTCATCAGGAAGGAGTGGGAAGGTGGCCACAAGAGCATCCAGAGCTGGCAGAGCCACTGCCCTGTTGCCCTCCGAGGCAGTGCGGGCTCTGGCTCCAGGGAGTTGGCCGCGGGTCAACACTACGGGCCTCCTACAGTGGTGCTGATGAAATTCCGAGGGACGAGAGCCTGCTCCTGGGACCCACCCTGCCCAACACTCACGGCAGCACCAGGGTGTCCTCGGGGAGGCCGCAGGCTCTGGCGTGCTTCTTGTCGTGGAACATGGGCAGGGTCCTCAGCACAGCAGTCAGGTCGGTCCCAGGGACGAGCACTGCAGGCAGAGCCCAGATGGGGATGCATCCAGGACTGCAGCTGGGGACCAGGCCCAGTCCAAGGGGGACAGGCTGCAGTTGCCGTGGGGACCCTTCAGGCACCAGCAGAGGCGCCATGCCTGAAGCTGGTCCAATCCTGCCTCTGGGCTGGACAGCCCAGTTCTGCCCACTCCGGTCGCTCCCCCAGGGCCTGCTTGGGCCGCCAAGACTTGTGGGCCCTGGCCTCCTCCAGCCTCAGCCTGGAGTCCTTCTGCCCCAGTCCTACTCCTCACCAAACAGGGGCTCCAGGGCTCGGCTCGTGGTACCACCTCCAGGAAGTCTTCCCTGATGCCCGGGCCACAGTGCTCTCCCCATGTGCTCCCTCACTGGCCCTCGAGCAAGGTCTCCCACCTCAGCCCCCTGAGCTGGAAGGCCTGGCACCCAGCACACGCTCTCAGCCTCCCTGGCTCTGCCACCTGCTGCAGCCTCCACCTCAGACATGCATCTCGGGAGGCCCTGAGCAGAGGTCGCCTAGAAACAGCCCCTCAGCTTGGGCTCCCGAGACCGCTGACGGAAGCCCCGGCTTTGTCCACGTACCCCTCCAGCTCTGACCTTGGACAGGTCCACTAACCTCTGTGGGTACGCTGACCTCCCACTGAGGTTCTCCTGAGCAGCTCCCATGTGCCTGGCACCAGAGCACACTGGAAGGGCCACAGTCCGCAGGACGGGCGCTGCAGAGGGTCAGCCCTTTGGCCAGTCTGGCCCTGCAGTGGCCCTCTGGGTGTGACCTTCCGCCTGACCCGTCCATGAGCTCCTCACAGCTGCAGCCCCTGGGCGCTGGGAATCCGCGGGCTCCCTCTGCACAGTGGGCCTGGCTCCACCCCCACAGTCTGCCTCACCCTCCACTTCCAGGGCCACTGTGCCCCCTGGCCCGCAGCCCTTGCCCAGCCTCGGCGTGGACCTTCCTCGCCTGTGCCCGCTTCCCCGCAGCCAGCCAGGAGCGAGCGTGGGCTCCAAGGGCCCACAGTCACCTGCACTGTGCAGAGGGGGCGAGGGCAGCTCTGGGGCGCGGTTCTGCCCATCACATGGGCGTGGTGGGTGGAGAAGCCCCCTCAGAGCAGCAGGCATGGCGCTCGGCCGGGGCACTCTTCCCTCGGAGAAGGCCGAAGTCCTCAGGTCACCACTGCCAGCCCCTCGGTCAGGCCAGACCAGCCCCGGTTGCCCAGCAGCGGCGCCCACAGCCTGCCCAGTGTCCCGAGGTCTCGCCCTTGGCCGCTGCCTCTGCCAGGAACCCGGGAATAAGGCAGAACCTCCCTGAGCTCAGTTTCAGCGGGCCGCACCCCTCACCCACTGTCACCCACTGTCACCCTCTGCGTCCCTGCTCAGGTCATTCTCCCCAGCCCACACTCCTGCCGGCCCCTGGCCCGGCCCTCCCCAGCCCTGCTGGGAGCCCGCAGGCCCCGATGTTTGCAGGAGCAGGGGACGGCACATGCTGGCTGATCCGAACGCACCGCGGGGTGCTGGGTAAACAGATGGGGAAATCGGCAACGTGTTTGGTTTGTCAGCACACCTGCCCTCTGCTGACACCCAGCGTGTGACCAGGACACAGGCCTCCGGAGGCACAGCCCTCAGCAGAGGACCGAACTCAGACTGGGCCTGCTGCATGCTCATGGCCGCCGGACCACATGACGCCAGCGCGTGGTGACGCAGGGGGTGCAGAAATGGCCTGGGGTGACTCCTTCTGACGCGAAACCCTTTACAGACGTGAGAGGCACCCTGAGAAGGGGTGAAGGGGCCCTCCCCAGAGCCCAGGGAAGAAGGGAGCGCAGCCCCGCAGACGCTTGGCCCACCCCAGTGAGCGGAGCTGGCTTCTGACCGCCAGAGCCCAAAGGGCATCAGGTGTTGTTGTTGTTGTTTTGCTTTTGTCCTGCCAGAAGGCATGTGCTCCCCAGGAGAGACAGAAGGGACACGAGCAAGCACCCCTCTTGGGGCATGGGCATGCTGCAATCCCGTCCTCCATGTCTCCCTCTTTGGGGACCCTGGGCACACAGGCACATGTGTCCAGATGTTCATGAAGCCACCGGACCTGGGACTTGGACCACACAGCTGCCCATGTGGGGCACAGCAGCTGCCTTCACCCCGTGCCGCCAGCTGGCCCTGCGTGCCGCTAAGCCTCCTGGCCATGCTGCAGTCTTCCCCCCTCCAGTCCCCTCAGGGTGGGGCACACACGGGCAAGCGCCTGCTGTAATTTCCTTTCTTTCTTGAGAGGTTTTTGCTATAGGGCGCGTGCGCTCGCCAGACAGACAGAGAGAGACAGAGACAGAAAGAGAGAAATCACCCCCCGGGGGGATGGCCACGCTGCAATCCTTTCTCCTCCATTCTCCTCTCGGGATCCTGGGCACGCACGCACACAAGCCCAAAGTGAGTTTAACCCACCGGGTCTGGGACTCGAACCACGGTCCACTACATGGGAGTCCAGCGACACCATTACGCCAACTGCTGGTCCCTGGTGTAATCTTCAAACCACCGCGTCTGGGACTCACACAGAGTAGACCACGTGGGACCCAGTGCCTTAACCACCACACCTGCTCCGCCGTGCCGTGATTTCTTTTCTTTCTTTCTTTCTTTCTTTCTTTCTTTCTTTCTTTTTTTTTTTTGGAGAGATTTTCACTGTAGGGCGCGTGCGCTCGCCAGACAGACAGAGAGAGACATAGAGACAGAAAGCGAGAAATC